TTTTGTTTTGCGAAATATACTTAAACATGCAGTACGGAAGATTTGTTTGGTAAAGCGTGTATGCGGTGAGGTTGCCGGTTTGTTAATTCTGACAGATTGTGCTATAACTAATGAGCAACATTATTCACACAATGGACCTTTCAAAAAGGCTGAGGAACCATCTGTTGTTAAAACAAAGAAACCTCTTTCAGAAAAGCGTTTACAAGCAAAAAAGTTAAAGTCACAGAGTCCGTAATACAATTTGTATTAACATTGGACTGTGTTTCAGAGATGGCAACAACAAAGGATTTAAAAACAGAAATGACCTTTTTCTTGCTTGACAGGTAAGATATCTAGCTAGCCACCATTACATTGAATGTTAGATATTTAAAGTTGGATATTGGTTTTACATTTTTTAGGTAATTTAATTTAGGTAATGAAAAACTATGGGTACCTCAAAGCATCATATTTATCCACACTGAATATCTGAGCTGAAACCCAACTCGCAGACTAAATAACTGATTGGAAATGTTCTGCATACATCAGAGAGAAGTCATACTTTTCACCCCAAAGAATGCAGAGAGCATGACTTTCTTGACTGTGAATGTGAATATGCTATAAATAGTCTATCAATAGTTTATGTTTCTACTAAAGGTCCAGTCTAATTGTCAGTAAATCTTTTCTGACTCTGGAATGCTGGAAAGACATATTTTGATGACTGACTACATACCAAATAGGTACACTGTACCTAAATGTAACCAGTACCAACAATTAATAGAGTGTAAGGGTGAAATGGATGTATGGGACATCCCTCCTACCTTCAAAATCCTGTAGAAGGTGTCCATCTCTGAATGACAGAGTCTGTTTGAGCTGCTGGTCCAACATGCTGTGAACTGTCACAAAGCCTTCATCCAGTGCGACCACATATGGGAAACACACAGCCGCCGCAATCACGCTCTCTGACCAGCTCACCGGAGCACGCTGAGATATGCCCTCTGCGTTAGCAAACATCCCTGAGAGATAAAGATAAAGAGAGATGCATGACTCATCTCGAACGATCGCCATGATGACAGTCACAGCCGAGAAGACAGATTCTTATCTCAGGTGGGGTGCAGCTAAAATTATAATAAAAATGACAAACAAACAAATAATAGATGCATTCACCATAGAAAACAATTCATGATGCAGAGTCCTCCGGGACATATGAAGAGGTATTTCCTTCTCAAATGCACTAGTGCGAATAAGGTTTTCTCGCTCAGACCTCAAACACTATATTCCAAAGTACAAAAGGGGGGGAAAAGTAATATTGGCTTGCATCTCTTGCAGGGATGACTTTTTTTTTTTTAGGCCACAACCACTTCGCATATATGGTTCCATTATTCTGAAGTCAGAGTTTTTAAGTGGGTTTTTGGTTAAAAGCCAGAAATAAGGTCTGTGGTTAAAATAAGCAAAAGATATAGTCATGTTTTATTCTTCAACATTAAATACATCAGTAATACCCATTAAAGGGGTCATCGACCATAATGATAAAAATCCACCCAGTGTTTTTTTTTAAATCCCTATTTTAAAATCCCTTTTCTCAAATCAGGCTGTTCGGAGATTCTTGTCAGAATGACAGTTCTGCACAGGCCCCTCCCACGATAGTTGATTGATAAGGCCGTCTTACCTTAGACCTGCCCTGAGTGAGCTTGAGCTGTACGCCATTGTGTCGACTCCGGTGCAGGGGAAGACAAGAATGTCTCCTAAGCGATTGAGATGTTTTGTTGTTGGATGTAATAATGAACATAGCAGTCGTCATTTACTCCCGACATCTGTGCCGCTGAAGATGTTACTTTCGTTTTTGAAGGGAATGCGCCGATCCCGATCTGCCTAAATGCGTTTAAGTTCGCGCGAATCATTCATGATACAGCTTCATCTACAGAAGAAGTGAGTATAAGGGTTTTTTATGAATCTTTGCAAATCGCCTTTCCTAATATGTGCTAGTTAGCCAGTTTCACAGCTGAAGTTTACAGTCTGTTCGTCACCCCAAGGAAGAGAGGGGCGGGGTGAGCAGAGCTCATTAGCATTTAAAGCAACATAGACTAGAACAGCATGATTTCGATTCTGATTTTGTCAGGGTAAAAAGGGTGTTTCTCACAATACCATTGAGAAATTTTAACCAAAGTATGTTATAGACTTTTCATTAAGACCCTAAAGAATCATATCAACTTGTGGAAAATCGGCATCCGATGACCCCTTTAAAATCTTTTACTTGTGTTGAAAAAGCTGGTTGCTAACAAGTGGCTAAATGGGGGACATTAAACATCTACTCCCTAATCACGCTCTTGCAAGCTATTCTAACTCAACTTTCTGGGAAAATTAATCTTTCTTTCTTTCTTTATTTGAAATAGAGACTTAAAGAGTTGTCGGAAGGTTAATGGTGGTGATGTTAGTCATGCAACCGTAGTGTAGTTCGTTTACAGCTTACGTTTAGCTTTTTACTTCAAGTGATTGTTATTAGGCTTAAAAACTCATTAAAGTTGTGTTTATTTATAAAGATGATCATGATGAACAAAACCGGTAAGAATCAAGCACTCTATTGACAGCAAAATCTATATACTGTATTTTTTTTTTACTATAAACGTATTTCAGAATGAAACTTAATATTTATCCAAGTGTATATTTTGCATTTATATTAATATATCCTAAAACATAACACTTATGACAGCAAAGAAATAAAATCCAATCTAAATATTCAGCCACAGATCTGACTGAAACCCACACGTATTGATCAATGCCATTTTTGGTCATTTAACTCACCAAGCCCGCCTGGAGCAGCCAGGAGAAACTCTTCCCGGCCAATCCTCTTAACAATGGGTTTCCTTTCTTCACAGTCGTAAGGGAACAGGTCCTGAGAGGCTCCTGTGCTGTAGTTGAGAATCATATACTGCGTGGACAGAGCTAGACAGATATTGTATCCGTCCAGGCTCAGGGCACAGGGCTGCTCTGGTGTGGTCACTTCCTTTAACATCTGCACTCTGTCCTCATGGACCGTACAGATCTGGATGGCCCGTCTGCGTGCCAAAACCACCGCCATTTCCACACAGAACGCATCGCCCGTCACTGGATTCTCGTTGATGCAAAACGCAGTCACACCTTTGAGCTTTGTGCCCCCGGTGGGCACAGGCTCCAGAGTAACCATGTCCACAACAGTGATGGTTGAGTCACAGAGGACGATTAAACGTTCTAAAGCAGAGGCAGCCTTCAGCTCTGCCACTGGCTTCTTCAGGCCCAGGTATTTGTGGAGGAGCTTCTGGGCATTGTAGGCCAGCTTACCTTTGGATGTAGTGCGCTCCTCTAGTAGGAAGTGATGGATGAAGCAGTCATTGGTGCCAAGGTACAGATGTACGCCACAGCACTCGATGCATTCGATGTTTATCCGCACCTTTTCGCCCATCACTTGTTCCCGCTCCACGGCGGGAACCAGCTCAAAAGCTTTCACGCTCATAATGCCGCCCACATCTACAGAGAGAGAGAGAAAAAGACCAAGTTTAGACAAAGTCAAAGTCTAAGTTTAGACTTGTACTGACAAGTATGAGCTATATAATAAAGAATATTATAAAGACACAATTTCATTAATAATACTACTACTAATAATAAATAACACAATATTATACACATTAAAAAGACAATATTATTGCTGTACACAGTCTTGCTGTACAAGTCTAAACTAAAGGTTTATAACAATAATAATAAATGCTCTAGTTTTTTATGAATCTTTGCAAATCGCCTTTCCTAATATGTGCTAGTTAGCCAGTTTCACAGCTGAAGTTTACAGTCTGTTCGTCACCCCAAGGAAGAGAGGGGCGGGGTGAGCAGAGCTCATTAGCATTTAAAGCAACATAGACTAGAACAGCATGATTTCGATTCTGATTTTGACAGGGTAAAAAGGGTGTTTCTCACAATACCATTGAGAAATTTTAACCAAAGTATGTTATAGACTTTTCATTAAGACCCTAAAGAATCATATCAACTTGTGGAAAATCGGCATCCGATGACCCCTTTAAAATCTTTTACTTGTGTTGAAAAAGCTGGTTGCTAACAAGTGGCTAAATGGGGGACATTAAACATCTACTCCCTAATCACGCTCTTGCAAGCTATTCTAACTCAACTTTCTGGGAAAATTAATCTTTCTTTCTTTCTTTATTTGAAATAGAGACTTAAAGAGTTGTCGGAAGGTTAATGGTGGTGATGTTAGTCATGCAACCGTAGTGTAGTTCGTTTACAGCTTACGTTTAGCTTTTTACTTCAAGTGATTGTTATTAGGCTTAAAAACTCATTAAAGTTGTGTTTATTTATAAAGATGATCATGATGAACAAAACCGGTAAGAATCAAGCACTCTATTGACAGCAAAATCTATATACTGTATTTTTTTTTTACTATAAACGTATTTCAGAATGAAACTTAATATTTATCCAAGTGTATATTTTGCATTTATATTAATATATCCTAAAACATAACACTTATGACAGCAAAGAAATAAAATCCAATCTAAATATTCAGCCACAGATCTGACTGAAACCCACACGTATTGATCAATGCCATTTTTGGTCATTTAACTCACCAAGCCCGCCTGGAGCAGCCAGGAGAAACTCTTCCCGGCCAATCCTCTTAACAATGGGTTTCCTTTCTTCACAGTCGTAAGGGAACAGGTCCTGAGAGGCTCCTGTGCTGTAGTTGAGAATCATATACTGCGTGGACAGAGCTAGACAGATATTGTATCCGTCCAGGCTCAGGGCACAGGGCTGCTCTGGTGTGGTCACTTCCTTTAACATCTGCACTCTGTCCTCATGGACCGTACAGATCTGGACGGCCCGTCTGCGTGCCAAAACCACCGCCATTTCCACACAGAACGCATCGCCCGTCACTTGATTCTCGTTGATGCAAAACGCAGTCACACCTTTGAGCTTTGTGCCCCCGGTGGGCACAGGCTCCAGAGTAACCATGTCCACAACAGTGATGGTTGAGTCACAGAGGACGATTAAACGTCCAGGCTCAGGGCACAGGGCTGCTCTGGTGTGGTCACTTCCTTTAACATCTGCACTCTGTCCTCATGGACCGTACAGATCTGGATGGCCCGTCTGCGTGCCAAAACCACCGCCATTTCCACACAGAACGCATCGCCCGTCACTGGATTCTCGTTGATGCAAAACGCAGTCACACCTTTGAGCTTTGTGCCCCCGGTGGGCACAGGCTCCAGAGTAACCATGTCCACAACAGTGATGGTTGAGTCACAGAGGACGATTAAACGTTCTAAAGCAGAGGCAGCCTTCAGCTCTGCCACTGGCTTCTTCAGGCCCAGGTATTTGTGGAGGAGCTTCTGGGCATTGTAGGCCAGCTTACCTTTGGATGTAGTGCGCTCCTCTAGTAGGAAGTGATGGATGAAGCAGTCATTGGTGCCAAGGTACAGATGTACGCCACAGCACTCGATGCATTCGATGTTTATCCGCACCTTTTCGCCCATCACTTGTTCCCGCTCCACGGCGGGAACCAGCTCAAAAGCTTTCACGCTCATAATGCCGCCCACATCTACAGAGAGAGAGAGAAAAAGACCAAGTTTAGACAAAGTCAAAGTCTAAGTTTAGACTTGTACTGACAAGTATGAGCTATATAATAAAGAATATTATAAAGACACAATTTCATTAATAATACTACTACTACTAATAAATAACACAATATTATACACATTAAAAAGACAATATTATTGCTGTACACAGTCTTGCTGTACAAGTCTAAACTAAAGGTTTATAACAATAATAATAAATGCTCTATAATATTGATTATATTTGTTGTCAGGGCAAGTCTAAATTGAAGGTTTTGTTTCCGTTTTCTCTCTCTTGCTCTAGATGTGGCAAGACAGAGAAATGGAAAGAAAACCATCAGTTTAGACTTACACTGGCAACAAATGTGCGCAAAACTGTGCTACAAAGGATATTATAAAGACATTAATAAAAATTAAAATAATATAGCCATTACTAGGGCAAACAATATAATGAATATTTCCTTTTCTGTCTTAAATTAAACGTTTTGCTATTATTATTACAGCTTTTGTTATTAACATGATGTCTTTATACGTGTCTCTTCACATTTGTTGTCAGTGTAAGTCTAAACTGAAGATTTCGTTTCTGTTTTTGCAGAGATGTGGCAAGAGAGAGAAAACAGAAACAAAACCTTCATTTAGACTTGCACTGACAACAAATATGAGCAATATTGCAAACAGAAACGCTTATTAATGTCACTTATTGGTATAATTGATCATAACAGCATATTCGAAAGCAATAAATCACAGCTCTCTTGACAGTCAAGCATAAAAACAGGTGCCTGTCAACCAGTGGTTTGGTGCATTACAGATCTGTCCCATCAACTTCATCTACATTATTTTACAAAAAGTTTATTTTAGTAATAGAAAGTTGTTTGCGAGGTGAATTTCTGTCAACCCAGCCAAAGACTACGCTAGCAAAACCATATCATTTCATTCCTCTTTAAGCAGCAGTACCTGCTTCACGTCCACAAGCCCAGTATGAGCATTTATATGAACGACAGACAGAAGTGATTTGATTACGGGTGATCATGAGAGTCTATGGCTGTATTTCAATACCTAGTTGAGGTGCCTAAAAATCTAAATCTAAAAATCATTTTTGGGTTTTCGAATATGCACCTATTATGCCATAAAAGCTGTGCTGGTCGACAGTTCGCTAGGTTTTAGACACAGCCTACGTGTCTCATAGTGTGTATGTCTGTGAGTTGCGGCATGCAGAGAGCGCAGGTGATGTTAAAGAAAGCCGAGCGCATATCGTACCCCAGCCGTGGTCAGTGCTGTCCTGATTTGAGAGATGGCAGCGTTTCACGGCCTGCCCGTTTCATTCAAGCGCCCCACTCCACCTCCCTCTCTCGCGCTCTCTCTCTCTCTCTTTCCCTCTCTCTCTCTCCCTGCGGTAACGCTTCCTGTTTCTCCGCCGAAATACATCCGGCCACGTGATGAGGGTGGGCTCTGGCTTTCTTATTTGAAAGCCTTTATAATAAATTTAGTTTTAGCATTAATGTCGTTAAAACTGAAAAAAGCAAACTCTTTCATCTTTAAAAATCTTTAAAAATTACTCATAGAGCTTCGACAGAATGTTAGAGTTTTACAATAGACTGTTACGTTTGTAGTGCTATAAGTACGTCAGCATTTTCGAGTTATGGGCTTCTTCAGGATTTCCAATTATTATTTATTTATTTATTGTTGTTATTATTATTATTGATTTACGGTTTTTGGATGCACATTTTATATTACAACATAATATACATACAATCGTACATCAGCCAAGGGAATTGTTGTTGTTGTTGTTGTTGTTGTTGTTGTTTTTGGTAACAAGTTTGTTGTTGTTGTTGTTTTTGGTAACAAGTCACTACGGACAACAACTACAAAGCATTATTGATTTACGGTTTTTGGATGCACATTTTATATTACAACATAATATACATACAATCGTACATCAGCCAAGGGAATTGTTGTTGTTGTTGTTGTTGTTGTTGTTGTTGTTTTTGGTAACAAGTCACTACGGACAACAACTACAAAGATGTGAGTTTACGCGATTGAGGAATCGTACAACTTGAATTTCTGCATATAACACATTTTACCACAAGAGGGAGTCATAAGCCAATTTCTTCCCCAGTTATCCAGTTTTAACAGTTCATGAGGATCTAACGTTATGATCCAACATCTGACGACAACATCGTCTTACATTACTGCTAAATTGTTTATTTATCTGTTTGTTTAAACAAGGCTAATCACAAAACTGTTAAATAATAATAATAATATATGGGTAAGGGTGGAAAAATATCTTAATAATTTCACCAGCCAAAGTAATCTCATTATTAAAGGAATAGGCCAGAACAGGTCAGAATAGGCATCAATACTAGCAAGTATTGCCAGGGTCTGGGAAATAAATACACATTATAATAATATTACTAATTAATATGATCTATGATTTTTTCCCCATAGAATAAATTTAACCCCTAGTAAGATTTGAGTCGAATAAACATAAATCAAGCGTAGCGTTAGTTCTGGCAGGTAACGTTAGTTAAGCTCGCATCAGCTGACTCTCAGCTGATCCCCATCAACCTATGGGAATACGACACCTATCTAAGCATTCATATATAAGGTCCCTCAGTATTATCAGCAGTTTTCGCATTGCTCAACAGCTAATTCCCCTCCCCCATCCCCAACTCCTCCTCTGTCAGTCAGGATTCAGCCTTCTGATTCTCCTTGAATCAGACTAATTCTAAAATGTGTACATAAAATGATTGAACTTTAACAATATCTGCAATACATTTATGTTTATGTTCTGTTCTGTTTACCCTGAGGGGTTATTGCAGCTCTCCCTGCTCTCATCCATGCTTGGCTGCATGGAGGCGCAGGGAGTTCTTGCCCAGAACAGAACCATACCGCCAATCCAAACTGTATGCTACTTGTCAATCATCTTTGACGATAATGGTCCTGACAGAAGTTGCTTTTAATAAGCTACAGAGACAGATGCATGATGACATGCTGTTTTAGGTTTCACTGAAAGATAAGAAAGAACAGCTGAGGCATATTTAGAGTAAATGCATTTTTTTGTTATAGGGATCTCCTATAAGCAGTACTGAGCCTTTTTCATTCAGAAATGTATTATGAGCTACAGCAAATTCTACACACAGACGGTAAATGACAAATATTGATCAATGAGTCAAAAGCAAATGTTAGTCACAAAAAAGGTAAAATAGGCAATTATACTATAAAATGTAACATTCATTGTACATTATGGTTCTATATTTAAAATGAAAATAATAATTTTCACACTACATATGTTTCTTTTGGTTTGAACCCTGACCACAAAAACAAGACACAATATTATAATAATAGGCCTTGGCATGCACAGGCTCCTTTAAAGTTAATTATCTAAAGAAAACTTTTATTAGACAAATATATTACCCTCTTTAAAAGCTTTGATTGCTATTTAACTCTAAGAATAAATGTTATTTAATATAATAATAAAGTGTTAGGAATTGCAGTGCTATGCTGTCTGATCAGATGTCTTTGCCACAGTCAGGACACAGGATGTCATCTCTCTCCGTCAGGAAGCCGCGGCCCACCAGGGACACCAAACACTTCTTGCAGTTAAAGCAGTCGTTGTGCCACTGTCTCTCTTCAAAGGAGATGTATTTGGTGCCTCCCAGACCTGCAAAGAATATAACAGTAACAAATAACAAAGCTCATGATCACTATAGCAATAATATCATGGGAAATATGATTATTTGCTAAAGTGTGGACAAGAAGATTGCTGTGAGACTCATACAGGTCCTGAGGTCAGAAAGGCACAATTTCAACACCAAAATAATCCTATAATTTTTTTCCCTCAACCTTATGTCATTCCAAACCTGTAGGACTATCTATTTTTTTCAATGTAATAACCATTAATTAGAATTAGGCTGTCAAAAGCTCTAAAATGACAAAAAGCACAATATAAATATTATAAAAATGATAGAAGTGATAGAAAAAATTTTATCAGTTTTTTACATACAATTGTATGGCTTCAGAACACCAGAAATATAGCATAAAGTTTCATACGGACTTCTTTTATAATAACTTCATATTGCTTTTATGTCAGTTTTGAGCTTTATAGCCCCAATCCTGATTCACATTCACTGAAAAAAGTGCCTAAAAAAATAAATAAATAATAATAATACTAACAATAATAATAATAATAATAATAATAATGTTTTTTGTAATAAAGAAATTAAGTCTTGGATTCAATCAACAACTGACGGATAAAAAACAAATCCCTGCCTGACATTTTTATCTTTTTTGATAATCTGTTTCACTCAGATATATGTCACAATACAGAAGGAAAGGATCTGTCACTATTTTCTGTCATCACAACTTAATTTAAAAATATATTAATTGTGTTTATACTGGCCTGATAAGCACCTTCCAAAGATAAGGAGATGTAAATGTGTTGGTTGCTCATACCACTAATAGGGGTTGTGCATTCAGCACACTTCTTGGCATACAAATTGCAGAAGCAGTTGAGGCAATAGGGAAAGTCATCACGAGAGGTGAAGCGCTGGCCAGACAGCTGCTCCTTACAGCCAGTACACAAGAAGCAGTCCTTATGCCACGGCTGGCCATGGTAGGTCACGCCCCCAGTGGTGATTGGCTGAGAAGAAATGATAAAGGTGTGATGTCATATAATATTTTTTCTTCAAAGCAAAATGTTGCATTCAAGCTGTTCTTACACTCTAAAAAATGCTGGGTTAAATACAACCCAGTGCTGGGTAAAATAGGGGCAAACCCCGCAATTGGGCTCTTTTGACCCAGCGGTTGGGTTAAATGTAAACCTTCTGGGTAGTAACCCAACCGCTGGGTCAAAACAACCCAATTGCTGGGTTGTCCCTATTTTACCCAGCACTTGGTTGTATTTAACCCAGCATTTTTTAGAGTGTACCTTCTTGCAGTGTACACACTGCAGTGCAAATTGCTTCTCATAGCAGGGCACGCAGTAGCTATTATTGTCCTTAGGAATGAAGCTCTTGGTTCCAATAGGCTGCTGACAGCGCTGGCAGGTAAAGCAGGTCTCATGCCAGCTGTTCCCCTTGTGCTCCATCTTCCTGGAGCCTGAGAGAAATATAGAAAAATGCAGACAGGCAAACAAATATCCCATTACTTGTCTGGATAATAGAGAGGATTGATTATAGCCTATTTATTAAAGGGTTAGTTTACCCCAAAATAAAAATTCAACATTCAGTTAACTGGGAAAGTTTGTATTTACCTTTTCTGCATTAAATTCAACATGGTTTTTAACTCTACACCTACAAAATGATGAAGTGTGTTTTTGCTTTTATATGTGTTTATTAATTTTATGAAGGGCTGTAAATTTAATCGTTATATAGTCTATCATAATAATACAATACTATGCTATTTTGTACTGTACATGCAAATTGTAAATGCAAATTGTTTCTCACTAACATGCACCCAACTGTCCCTTCATTGAAAGAAAGTTCCACCAAAACTTTGAAACTTAAAAAAGTTAATAAAGACATTGTGAAAGATATCCAATGAGTTTTGCTCATTCCAAGCATGTTTGAGCCTCTGCAACAACCAATAAGATTTGCTCTTGCATGTCAAGAACAACAGTTGAGCTGCCACTGATCATGTTTGTTGTGCTCGATGAGTGTTGATTAATGTGTATATGGGAATAAAAGCCTATATTAAAGCTGTTTATCATAAAATGTGATTGTTTCTCTTCAGAAGATTTGGACTAAACCATTCAATATGAATTGCACAGTCTTTATGAACATTTTGAAGAGCCAAAGTTTTGGTGGAATGGACATTCAATGAAGGAACCGAAATCTCTCAGGTTTCATTAAAAATATCTCAATTTGTGTTTCGAAGATGAATAAAAGTCCTATGGGTTTTGGAATGGCATGAGGGTGAGTAAGTGATGACAAAAGTAAGTAAATGACTTCCCTTTTTTTTGGTGAACTATTTCTTTAAATGGATTCATTCAGTTTCTCAGCTCTCCTATAGTAAAGTTAATTATTGCTATTATGTCATTAGCTGCTGTCCAACACTACAACTGTCTCATTGTGATAAACCTTACCTTAATAATGTATCATTCAGGTGTCTGAAGTACATATGTGAAGAACAGATTAAGCAAATGTTTCACTTACCTGGCATGATTGTCTTCTTGCACTCAAAACATTTCGAGGAATACTCATTGGAGTAACACTCAGTACATAGTAGCTGCTCATCTTTGGTGGAGAACGGCTTGTCCACCAAGGAACGGTGACATTTGAAGCAGTGGAAGCAGTCATCATGCCAGTGACGGTCCTTGTAAGACAGATCCTGAGGACAAACGCATACCGGTAAGGACAATTCGAACCTACATTGTCTCACATGCATTAAACTTGGGTTTAAGGGAGAGTGTGCTTGGCCTCAGTGCTCTTTTTTAAGCCTTTGAACAGCTAATTAGGGAGAGCGGGAGGGTAAGGGTTCCTCAATGTCAGCTTCACAGCATATCAATCGCCAATAAGAGCCGCAGGTGCTGGTGTCTGCGACCAATCGCAGTGTGATCTGTCAATCGGAGTATGTTAGTGAGAGTCTGTCCTGGGCTGTGAGCACACATTGCCTCAGGATGAGTGTATGACACCAGTGCTTTAATTATCCTCCAATTTGGAGAGAGAGAGTGTGTGCTTGTTAAATTGCTGGCCCAAGGTGCTATGAGGTCATTCTGATTGCCTGGGACCAGGGTGGGGAGCCGCAGCGAACTGGGCCAAGGACAGGCCACACAGATGTGGCCCCACCTCAGGCCTGTCCTCCAGAGCGGTGACAGCCTCCTCATAAGGACTAATGACCATATGTGACACTAATGACAGAAAGTCACGGAAGCACCACTCATCTATAGCAAGGGCTGGGAATGTACTTCTAAAGTAACATTGTCACTATATGGTTCTTGTATATCATCTATAACATTTACTATAATACACTGTATTATTTGGTATTTTTATTTTTATCATGAAACATTGTCTTTAGGGCATTACTATGCTGTGGCTAAAGTGTTCTGAGAGGCTTTTAGCACTGTGCTATGCTGTTGCTAGGGTGTTTTCTATTTTGATCGCTCCTCATTTAATGCAAGTGGTGGGATTTTTCACCTGTTTTATCAGCTGCAATTAAAAAAAATCATAAATTCAATGCAATTGCACACTTCCTCTCAACATGCTGCACAACTTGTGGTATAAAATACCTCTATAGCACAGGCCCGAAGCATACAGTTTAAAGGGATAGTTTACCCCAAAATTATCATTTTGCTGTTATTTCCTCACCTTCATATTACATGTAAGTTGGTTACATTCCTGTCATTCCAAACCCATAAGACTTCCACACACACTTATCGTTTCTGTTCATGCTTCAAAAAAGTGCAAAAAGACATCATAACACAGTCCATTTTTACCCTATTTACCCCTAAATTAGCATATTTTTACCTTAAAGGTACACAAAAGTGTACATATTAGTTCCTAAGTGGTACATATTAGTAGCACACCAGTGAAAACTTTTGTACAATAGTTCAATAGTAATAGTAATGCTTGCCTTTACAATAACTTTACAGAATTTATTCTGTAAACTACATACACTAATATATTTTTAACATTTAAAGCTGTACAGTGATGTTGTGCATTGTTAGTTCACTGTCTAATGAATTAACTAATGATAACAAATGGAACAATAATGTAAAGGGTACTTATTATAATATAAGTAAAAAAAATGTATGATGAAATGTCAATGTCAATGTGCCATTTTATCTGTAATGTTTATAGTAAGTAAAGGTTATAAAAAGTTTAAATTTGTCTTTGAAATGGCAATGGAGGTCTGTGTGTCCATCACCAAGGTGAATGAGTGCAGGTAATTCCACAAAAGCTCATCTGGTCTCTTTATTTGGTTTTGGACTCACTCCCCAGCACTGATTTCCTGCTGGGTTCAGTCCAGAGTGCAAGAGCTGGCATTCATTCTCCACGATTCCCCACCTCTCTCCTGGTGATCCTCCTCAGCTTTCAGAGGGTCACACAAAGCTCCAAATCATTGTGTACAGTGTTACTAAATAAAAATGTTCAAATAGTTAGCGCTCAGACCATCTCAATCTGTATACTGAGTTCTGAATAATATGGTGCAGTCTGCTGGAACGGTCATTCAAATGGAAGTAAGGGAAAAGTGCATATTTCTAGATATTTCCTGCTAAGTTGGAGCACTCTTGAAAAAGAAGGGAATTTAATTGTATTGAATGCATACTTATAGTGTACTTGAAATCTTTAAAAACTATACTGGCAGATAATAATAATATTATAATAATAATAAAAGGCCACTTAAATTAAAGATAATAGACTTTCATGACTGTTTTAACACACTTAAGCATAATTTTAAAAGGTGCACTTTGTAAAAAGGTCAAATTAAAAGTTTTACTGTTTTAATAATCATTTGTCATGTATTAAAGTAGACTTATTTTGATTGTTGACTAACATAACGTAGTACTTATCAAGTAAGTACTTGATTATAACTAGTGTTATTCGATGTTATATTTAATGTATTTTACATGTACTAAATTGTAACTTAATCATTCATATAATTGCAAATGTATTAAATACATTACACACAAGTTATGATAGAAGTGACATTAAAGTAAAATATTTTAGTTTGTAAAGTAATATTTTAGTTTTTCATAAATGCTTAGTACATTCAGTACATTCGACTGTACACTTTAAACATATTTTAAAGGCAAGAAATTATGAAATTACATGTAAGGATGTACGCAAGTCTTAAGTGGGTCAAAAAAAAGCTATCTAATTGCATTAAATATACATTTAAACTATAGCTGATACATTTTGATTTAATTGCAGTTAACCTGCAATTAAGTGTCTGAAAACAAATTCAGTTTGCACTTAAGTATATTCTTTTAAAGTATATTCTTTTCAAAATAAATGCTAACAGTATACTAAAGTGTACTGCTTTTTCAAAAGGGTTGGATTGTATCTTTAAAACCTTTTGTATTTGAAAGTAGAAAGTGTGAAGATGAACATACTCTGCTGTTGCAGCCGATGGGTTTCTTGCATTCCTCACAGGTGTTGGAGTAGAGGCTCTCATAGCACTCCACACAGTATGGATTTTCATCACGCAGAACATACTTCTTCCCAAACAAAGACTCCTTGCAGTAGTGGCAGTCATAGCGTTCCGCCATCTTGGATTTAAACAATTCCTAAAAGATAAACGTGTTTTAAATGGTGCAGACAGGTTAAGGGGGTCACTAAAAATGTCATTGTTAGGATTGAAACTTAACTTGTAGACCTATAATACCAGTGCTTAACATCTCCTAGATCAGGGGTGGCGAACTCCAGTCCTGGAGAGCCGCAGCCCTGCAGAGTTCAGCTCTAACCCTAATTAAAACTCACCTGCCTGTAGCTTCCTAGTAACCCTTCAGACCTTGATTAGCTTGTTCAGGTGTGTTTGATTAGGGTTGAAGCAAAACTCTGCAGGGCTGCGGCTCTCCAGGACCGACGTTCGCCATCCCTGTCCTAGATAAAGGCTAACTATATGACGCAATCTTTCTAAAGCAAGAGCGGAAGGCATGCCAATGTATTAGTCCCAGCTGTTATGTCTCCCTCAGTAAAGCCCTGCTAATATTCCTGCGTTATCCCTCAGAACTGTGTCCAGACTAGCTTTTGTGCACACAATGCTTGCCCGCTCTGAGCTCTACACCAAACTTGTAGCTTCTTTTCTCAGCGAGTCTCATTCAAACACAACAAAAGTCTCTATAAAGCTCGTCTTGCGGAGTCACTTCAGTAAACTTGGTAAACTATTCTTCACTATTCAGCGTTCAACCATTATTACCTTTGCATTAAGATTGCTTCTTCTTTTTTTTTTTTTTTTTTTTTTTTAAAAATATCCTTTGAAAATTGGTTTTAACCAAAGTACATATTTCATTTTCTTTAAGGTATAAGTGTTTTAATACGCTGTTTATTGTACAAATCGTGGCAGTTTGGAAATAAAATGTCCAGTGAGTGTTTAACATACCATCTATACTAAAGTCTACCCTAAACCTAACCAATGGGGTTAAAGGGGTCATATGATGCGATTTCACGTTTTCCTTTCTCTTTGGAGTGTTGCAAGCTGATTGTGCATAGATAAGATCCCTGAAGTTGCAAAGACTAAAGTCTCAAAACCAAAGAGATATTCTTTATCAAAGTTAAGACTCTGCCACGCCCCCCTAAAACGGCTCGTTCTAACACGCCCCACATATCTACCTCACTATGTGGAAATATTAGCGTAATGCCGCCCAAATGTGCACGCAAAGAAAGAAGCCGTGGTTTCAGTAACCGCAGTTAGTGTTGAAGCAGCCATGTCAGTGAGACGTTGTGTGTTTCTAGGCGAAAGCAAAAGCACTTTATTTGGCCTTCCGGAAGTAGATGCATTTAGGAATCTTTAAGATTACTTACAACAGAACAGCCATAAGCTAAAAACACATTTGCTAAAGCAACTATACCATTTTAGCTTGCTTCTACAAGTCTTTGAGCTCTTTCATCAAGTGCCATGTTGTGTTTCACATTGCAAGTGCAAAACTGTAGGCCTACCAGGTGAGCTACAGAGCAAGTTTACAATGTCAGAAAAGCCATACAGCTAGTCCATACTGCTAGTTATGTGATGCAAACATGATTAAAGTTAGTTTACAAATCATGCACTATGGTAAAAGTGTTTTGAAGTCATTGTGACCTTCATAATAACTTCATAGACTCCTTTATGTAATGTATGTCTCCAACAGAAAGGTAATGGAGTCAGCTAAATCTGCACTGTGAACACTTGTCAGATCCCACTGTTGTATCTGAATGGATTCTTTGATGTGTCCTCAGCCTGGCTGGCTGGCACCAACACTGGGCACCAGATCAAGACAAGTCTCAGTGGTTCCAGCTGTCCCCAGTGTGTCCCTTACTATCAATAAAGAGACATATCTCCCTCAGTCTCAAACAGACAGATATACACATAAGGGGATTAAATAAGACTGACACAAGGAGGAGCTTAGCTGGAGAATCTTTTGTGTCATGTGAATTACTTTTGAACCTTAATGAAGCCCTAAACCAACTCACTCATTTCCAATTAAACCAAGAGTGATAAAGTGAAACGTGCAGCTAATTAAAGACTACAAAAAGGTCTCTGTGAGTGTAACCTTTCAGCCATAACTGAATAAAGGAATGTTAGGTGGCTGTGGAGATGCCTGACACATTTATTTTTGCCATAACTACTAGGAACCAAAAGAAAGACAACCAAACTTTTCATACCAGTACTAAAACACTGTTTGAGGTATAAATCTTAAACCTAGAGGATGGACACCACATCCATTTAAAAATACAGACAAAAGTAATCATTTTGCTTCAGTAATCATTTTGTAATCATGTCAATTTTAAAATACTTTCCACAAAAATCCTTAGACTGATGCACTTATATCATTTATAATGTGTTGTAATGTAATAAATTACCACTATAAACTATTAAATTATGGTGTAGAGAAAAGTATTTGACACACAAGCATGGGAAATGTCATGACTGAAAGTAAACCATCTGTGCATGGACAGATGAAAAAATAATCAGAAAATTTGAAAAAAGATTATGAAATTTTAGTGCAGATTGAGAAGTTGCAGATTTCAACTTCAGTGCAGCTTTCTAGATGTTAATATAAAGCAACAGGCTAAAGCAGGTGGAATTAGAAGAGAAGAGAAGAGAAGAGAAGAGAAGAGAAGAGAAGAGAAGAGAAGAGAAGAGAAGAGAAGAGAAGAGAAGAGAAGAGAAGAGCCTTGCCTGTCCTGTGCAGTGATGTGCTGTGCTCTGCGTCTTTGGTTCTTGAAAGAGAGATGGAGGAGTGACTCATGTGCTCCTCTTTATTGGAATACTCCCCCTTTGGAAGGGGCAATGAGGTGATTGAAATGGGTTGGACACTTTATCAGGCACTATAAATACATAGGCACTACTAAGCCAGTACTTCACAGTGCACACTTGTATGTAACAGTAAACATATATCTCCACTCAATCCATAGTGGAGCCATGCATGTATTTTCTCGAACTGGTGTGAATCTAATCATTACAGCATATGGGACACTCACATTCTCATCCTAAAGTTGTATTTTAAACTGTAAATACCATCTTAGACCAGAACGTTAACCAACAAGACTTATTTTGTCAGCAAAAGAAGTTCCACCCAAAATACCATGCTGGGTGATGAGGGACGTATTGCTGGTTCTAAAGTTCTAGCTCTAAAGCCTTTTGGGATGCCGACACACTAGATTCCCATCCAAAACACAACATATGCTAATGATCAGCATTGCTGATCTATTCAATATATACACTGCAAAGTTCAAAGTGATCAAACAAGAAATTAGCATGTTCTGAATGTTAAATTTTGGACAAGCACCATCTTATTTCAATCATTCATGCCCTAAAAATCCATTCTGTGCCTTTCATTCCATGTGCAAGATACAGTATAACATTTGCACAAAAGCAAATTAAATAATGCAATTTTGATTTGTGTACTGTTTGAATTTGGGTTAGAAGTTTTTTTAATGTAATGTAAGTGCTACTCAAATCTTTGCAAACATTAGCTTTGTTGAACCAAATGTTGTGGTTGCTAACCAGTTCTTCATTGTTATTATCTGTTGTAGTAATACTGTCGTGAAGTCATGCT